AACAACAAATATTCTTCAACCTAAGCTGTGCTTGAGCCCTTTTGCATAGCTGGTGGTGATTCCTGAGGCCTAACTAGCGTGTAAAGTGACAGCCACCATGGTACTCATCTGGCACAGGAAAAGCCCAGGAACTTGCTTGTGTTCAGACACAGAGGTGGATGTATCCAGTTTATACTGGATGTATCTTGACTCTTTTTCTCTTGGATAGAAATCATTGTTTAGATAGTAAGACTTCAGTATGGGGACCCTCATTTTCAAACTTGATAAAGGAGCTGTGTTTTCTTCAGTTTTGTAACTGACACCTGACACAGTAGGTGTGGTGACTGGCATGTACACTCCGAGTTTTAGATTATTTAGTAAAGGGATAAGACAGATTGATCTTGCTGTGGATACTGATGGGGTAAAGATAGGAAACTAACTGGTAGCAACATTTGGATTTATGATAAAGTGAACTGTTGTTAAGTGCTGTCCAGTCGCTTCTGACTCATTGCAACCCTGCATAGAGTTTGTGAGGATGGTGCAGCTGGTGAGCTTGAACCTGCCAACCTTGTGGTTCAAACCGACCTTGCAGTCCAGCGCATTAACCCGCAGCACCATGCCAGGGTTCTGGTAAAGTGAACAGAGGTAGACTTTTATGAAGTCCTTCCCACAAGCCTACGAAATGTCCTATAGGTTCTGGACTGTTGTAACACTTACCCACTCTCTGCTGGAGTAATTCACTGGTTTGTCTCTCCCACCACCCTTGAGGTTAGATACTCTAATTTGTGCATTATTATAGTTCTAGTTGCCAGCACCCATTAGCCAGTGAATAGTTTATTGAACAAAATCATTTGAGGGACTGATAAAACCTATGTAGAGATAGGTATTTGAAAAGAATCCTCTTGGAGTTTGAAGTTAGCAGACTGAACTTGAAAATTAGACGTCTCATAAATGTTGGAGCCAGAATTTGAACCAGGATTTGCATAACTTCAAAACTATACTGCACTGTCTTTTCAAAAATAAAAAAGGGTACTTTCATATGGTGATACTGGATATATTTCAAATAGACAGCATTGTACCAATATTATTAGAACTGACTCCATGGCACACAACAACCACCACCACCAATATCATTAAGTTTTTGGTGCATAGTGAAACATAGTCAACTATATTGGTTTGGATGTGCTGTAATTGATTTCAAATCTTATTTTCTATTTTAGGGAAATTTAAACCAGATACAAGAACAAATAGAAGACCATCAGAAAAAAATAGAAAAGTTGGAGGAGTATACCAAGACATGCAGGTACGTACAGAGAAAAAGTCCTCGTGGCCCTTCCATCTCCAGGGTCTGCTGTATCGCCATACATCAAATGAGTGCTCCCACTCTGTCCTAACGCTCTCCCTTCCCCATGGTCTTTCACTTCACAGTATATAGTAAAGTTTATGAGGAACCACATGGTAAGTAGAATATGTAAGTTTGGGACCTCTAAATGCTTGACATGGATAAAGCATAAAGCTTCCTTCTGGTGTTGCCATGTTATAATACAGGTAATTAGTCACATCATCCAAATGTATATGCCCTAGATGTCCTGCTGCTAAGAGTGTATTTAAAATTAACATTAAGCTTCTTATTAAGCTCCTAGTAGTAGTATTGGTGGCAGTGATGGTACATCCTCAGTATCCAGAATTCTGTATCTTTTGAACCAACAAGAACAGTCAGAATCTCTTTTGCCCATAGTTGGCATTGGGTTTATTTTAGTGTATTTTTTTTATGCTTTAAAAGTTGATAGAGTCCTGCAGTCTTCCTCCATAGCGCTAGACCTGAGGCTGTTGTATCACGTCATTCCTAAATCTTGGTCAGTTTTTTTTTCACTCTGATTTTGTTGTTGTTGCTGTTGTTATACTGTATAGAGATAGCTTGAAAGAGAAAAAACAACAAGAGGAAATCCTAGGGGATGAAATTGGAAAAGCAAAGTCAAGAATGTCTGAAGTGAATGAAGAATATAATCGTATTGGAAGTGAACTACAGAATGCTGGGATTGATAACCATGAGGGAAGGCGCCAGCAAAAGAGAGCAGAGGTTTTAGAACACCTCAGAGGACGGTACCCAGAGTCTGTGGTAATCAGAAATGAATAGTTAACTTTTAAAAGGCTAAACTTTGCTATTTCGTGAAAAAATGTTCTTATTATTTGAAGTTAAAATTTTTAACTTTATTAGGTTGTTTGTTGTTGTTGTTGTCGTAAGTGCCATAGAGTCTGTTTGGACTCATAGCAACCCTGTATAGTGTTACCGAGGTTTGAAGTACCGGCCTTGTGGTTCACACCACAGTGCCACCCCAGGAGTCTAGAACTTACTAGGAAGCAGTATTATTTTAGAAATCTCTAAAATGTGTTTATATTTAAAATACAGTAGCAAATAATTGGGGTGAAACCTGCATAGCTCTCAAAAGTGCCTATAGATAAGTAATCACTGGGGAGAAGCAGTGACTTGAATGTAGTACTCAGAAAGCCCAAGTATGGTCAGCATCTCCCAATGGCCTGGGCACCATGAAAATAGTCTAAGGTCCACCAATCACATAGCTTCAAACTTCATGTTCTTCATGGTCTCTGGGGGTTTTGCCCCCTCTCTTCAACAGCTATAAGTGGCATCTTTTTGAATAATGAATTTTTCTTCTGTAACACTAACCATACCTCCAGTATGGCTCGTGCTTCATTAGCCAAAATGAGGAGAGTCCCTGTTGCTTGGAGTGTCGTTCTCACAGAATGGTTTCCTTTGGTATTGGTATTGGCGTCTTCATGTCTTGTCACTAACACCAGTGTGCATTTCAAAGCCCTTATTTTCTGATGACCTGTTTTCAGCACGTGACACTGGTACCTCCTTGCTGTATCAGGAAATACTTCTCCCCAGGCTTCCATGAACACCTTGTCACTCCAGCCACCCAGCTCCATCTCCCTCACAGGATCCTAATAAGTCTGACTTTCTGACTCTTAAATGGATTTGATTTCTGGAGAAAGGTGGAGGAGTAAACCTGATCACAAACTTGCCGTTCCCTACTACCTGATAGTCTTCATTCTCAGGTGTCGCCGTCACAGACACACCACACATGGAGCGTTAGCACCCACACATGTGTTCTCTCACAACTCAGGGCACTGGCTTGAGAGTAAGGCTTTCCATCGCTGTTGGCTCGAGCGAGGAGCGTGGTAGGGAAAGGGCTTTGTCTCTTCAGATCAGAGCTTCTGCTCCTAGGGGATCTGCTTGCTCACTTGTTCCGTTCTATCTCAGAAGAGGCGGGCTGACCATGTGCCCTGCACTAATGCTCCTCAGCAGCATAACCAAGATCTGCCATTCCCAAATGCATATTCTTGTTGCTGTGTTGTTAAGTGCCATTGAGTCAGTTCTGACTCATACTGACCTTGTATAGAGTTTTTGAGGAGCAGCTGATAGGTTTGAACTGCCAGACTGTGTTCAGTGCTTATCTTACAGCACCACAATAACCACAGACAAAGAGGATAAGATTTACAAAACATATTTTTGGGAAATACAATTCAGTCTATAACACTAAAACTACTCAAAACAGTAAAACATTAGTTCAACAAGCCAACAGGGAAAAGGGCTGAACATCATGGCAGGAGTTTCCAAAACTGAAGGTTCAGGAGATCTAAAGAGTGAAGCACTGTCTGTTCCCATCTCCATCCTGCAGAAGCCAAGGGACAAATGGACGACTTGTGAATCCTCCCTAGTGTTCTTCCACTAGCAGGAAGCAGGATCCTTTTTCCTCTTCTCACCGGAGGGAGGCCAGTTTAAGAACTGACCTCTGATGGATTCCATGGGAGCGAGAGCTGTAGGGCTCCTTGTTAAACCCAAAGCTAGTTTGAAGCCCTCTCCCTGAACAGGGTCTGTCCTGATTCCCACCAGGCAGAGGAACCTTGTTCTGAAGAAGCAGAGTGAGCTCATAGTCAAGCAGAGAATGCCAGGCTCTAGCTGAGCTCTCTCTCGGGCAGGGGCCCTTGGGCCTTTAGGCAAAGGAAGTAGACAGAAAGCAGAGTCTTAGTCCAGCAGCTGTGCCTCAGAGGAGAGCTGCATCTCAGTTCAGCAGGAAGGAAACAGTTCTCTTCACTCACAGCAAATAAAATGACTGAGCAGAGCTAGACGCAGGAAGCATAAGGCAGGGGTGGGGGTCGGGGGTTGTGGATGGGAATTGGTGTGGCAGCTATCGGTATATGTCAGAGGAGTCTAAGAGCCCAGCCTGGAAGGTTACACATCTCGCAGGAATGTTTTGTTTTACAGACTACTGAATGCTCATAGGTGCTGTGGAGTCGTCTTAGACTCAAAGAATGAAACACTGTCTGGTGGGAGGAGGACATAAAACCAGATTTCAGAGAAAAATGAGAAAAAAATAACATGAATAAGGAAACTCTAGGGCTAAGAGAATAAATCCAGAACACAATATTTTGACTGAACTAATAAGTTAGAAATAGCACGGCCTGGATGACACAGCTGACGACAGGATTCCTGACCCAGAAGAAAGATGAGACAGTCACCAGTGAATGGAGAAAATGATGAGGAGATTCACATGATTAGAACAGGAATGATAAATGTAAACATATAAAATGATGTATCATAAAGAAACTCATACCAAAAAAACGGTGGTAGTGGTTGTTAGGTGCATGAGTTGGTTGCGACACACAGGAGCCCTTCCTCACCATTGTTCCTACGTTTTTGAGTCCATTGTTGCAAAAGACTGTCAGTCCATCTCTTGACAGTATTCTTTTTCACTGACTATATCCTTTACCAAGCACTATATCCTCCGTGGATTAGCCTCTCCTGATAACATATCTAAAGTACATGGGACAGAGCCTCGCCCTCCTCACTTCCAAGGATTGGACTGGCTGTACGTCTTCCAACACAGATTTCCTCATTCTGGCAGTTCATAGTATATATTCAGTATTCTTTGTCAGCATTGTAATTCAGCTGTATCAGTTCGAGTCACGCACATCTTCGTCTTCAGAGTGACAGCTTTACTCTTGAACACTTTGCAGCAGATTTGCCCACTATGGTCACTTGACTTCCTTACTGCTGCTTTCATGGGTAGTGATTGTGGATCCAAGTAAAAGCAAATCTTTGACCACTTTAATCTCTTCTCCATTTACCATGCTGTTTCTTATTGGTCCAGTAGTGAAGATTTTTGTTTTCTTTTCATTGAGGTGCACTCCATATTGAAGACTTTTTTTTCTTTGATCTTCATCAGTAAGTATTTTAAGTCCTCTTTGCTTTCAGCAAGCAAGGTTGAATCATCTGCCTATCACAGGTTAGTCGAGTCTTCCTTCTGTCCTACTGCCACATTCTTCATCAGATAATCCAGTTTCTTGATTATGTGCTCAGTGTACAGATGAAGTAAATATGATCAAAGGATACAACTCTGGCACACACCTTTTGGGATTTTAAACCATTCAGTGTCTCCCTTGTTCTGTTTGAACAGGTGTCTCTTGGTCCGTGTACAATTTCTGTGTGAGCATAATGAAGTGTTCTTCAAATTACCGCCCATGATTTGGTGAGATCCATGCCATCAGATACTTTTGCATAGTCTGTAAAAGGTCAGACATCTAACAAATGAAGTTCTAGGGACCATTGATATAGAATGGTTGGCATTCCAACATATTCCAGGAAAGTGTTTGAACTTCAGTCTAATTGCTTCTTGATCTTCAACTGAAATAGCACTCCTTCATAGGAAACCTTCCACAACTTCTCAGAACACACAATCCAGTCCCCATTAGAAACTTGCAGAGCACTTGGTACTTTCTGTTCCTGCATCTAGTCACGCCATGTTTACCTGCCTGTGCTGACTGATGTGTGCCTTTGCCTGACTGGCTCTGCGGGCTCAGAAGGTAACTGTTTTGTTCAGTAATCTTTCTTAGTGTCTTGCTCACTCCCTGTACACAGTAGGTGCCTCTGATTCTTGTTTAAAGAGTGCTGTTGTTAAGTGCCATTGAGTTGATTCCCACTCATAGAGACCCTGTTTGGGGCTCCCAAGGCGGAGTGGCTGGTGGGCTTGAACCGCCAACCATATGGTTCATAGTCCAGTGCTTATCCTAGAGTGACCATGCTCTATTAAGAGTGATGGATGAGTGAGTATTAGGCTAAGTGATCATTCTAGATTGAAACTTAGTCCATTTGGACAGAGTCTTTAGTACATTGTGATGCTTTTGCATTATAAACTTAGGTTTGATTTATGCTGCTAAGTTAACTGGTGTACAGTGAAGATGACTGCCCCTCATGAATGCCTTTTCTCTCCCCTTTTGGAACTTACTAAGTTTGGAAGACTGGTCGACCTGTGCCATCCCATTCACAAGAAATATCAGCTGGCTGTCACCAAGCTCTTCGGTCGGTTCATGACTGCCATTGTTGTAGCCTCGGAAAAGGTAGCGAAGGATTGTATTCAATTTCTGAAAGAGGAAAGAGCTGAACCCGAGACATTTCTCGCTCTAGATTACCTTGATGTAAGAAACTTATAATAATGTTCAATATTTAATAGTGATTAAAAACTTGCCTGTTGTGTAGCTTCATTGTCTGTAACTATGCTAACTCAAAAACAACAACAACAACAACATTGAGTCAATGCTATAAATCTTTATGAGAGAAGAAAGTCTAATCTTTCTCCAACAGAAAGTGGGTTTGAAGTGCTGATCTTGCATTTATCAGTCCAGTGCTTATCCTATTACAGTGCCACGTGGGTTCCTTCAGAACTGTGGTTGATGGTGTTGTCAAGTGCCATTGAGTTGATTCCAACTCATAGTGAGCCGGTGTAGGGTTTCTGAGGAGCGACTGCTGGGGTTGAACCACTGATCTTGTGGTTAGCAGTCCAGTGCTGATCCTATAGTGCCACCCCAGGACTCCTCGGAACTATGGTTGTAGTCATTAAGTGCCACTGAGTTGGTTCCGACTCATAGCGACAGAATAGGGTTTCTGAGGCTTTAAATCTTCATGGGAGAAGCAAGTCTCATCTTTCTCCCACAGAACAGCTAACAGGTTCAAACCTTGTGTTTCGTAGTCCAATGCTTATTGTACTTTGGTGGTGTTAAGTGCCATCAAGTCATTTCTGACTCAGCAGCCCTGTGTAGGGTTTCCAAAGAGTGTCTGGTGAGTTTGAACCACCAGCCTTGCAGTTCAAACCAACTTGAAGGTCAAGTGCTTATCCTAAGGCACCATGTGGTAATGATAAAAATGGAAGCTCGGCTGCCAGCCCCTCACCCTATTGCTGTTGTTAAATGCTGTTGAGCAGTTCTGACCCACAGCGACCTTGTCTAGGGTTTCTGAGATTTTATATCTCCTATGGAGCAGAAAGCTTCTTCTTTCGCCCATGGAACAGCTGGTGGGCTCGAACCGTGGGCCTTGTTGTTCTCAGTGCAGTGCTTACCGTAGGGAGCCATAATGATTGACAGGAAGGAATGCTCTCAGTGGGTGCCTTACCTTTCTTGGCTCCCTGCCATTTCTCCCTGGTCTCAGTTTGCTCTAAGTCCACCATGTGGCTGTCTGTGGTTGTGAGGCCGTGACTCTAGCAGTGCCTGCCTGTGCCTACCAGTCAACAACCCATTTCCTCCCACGGGATGTGCAATCTGCTGATGAGATGCCATCCCGACTTCCAATTGTAGATACCTGGTCCCAAGTGTCAGATTTTAGTGGAACAGACTTGTGTTTTGAAGTTTCACTGCCAGCTCTAGAAAATGCTCTGTTGATCACGACATCTAGACCCTGAACCTCAGGCAGGAGGGGCTGCAGTCAAGAGCACGTGCCCGATAGCTGGGCCCACCTTAGTATGCACCTCAGTGCATTCATCCTGCAGTTTTCAAGCATCCGGTGCTTCAACTGTAAAATGGTGGGATAAGTGCTTCCCTAGGTCCAAGGACGTGTTGCCTGTGACGCACTGCACAGCACTTCAGCAGAAGGTGCTCAGTAAACATGGCTGCTATTGCTGCAGGGCTCCAGATCTGCCTTCCATCCACTGAAGCTGCTCATCCCATTTTATTGGTTAGCCTCTACGCACACGCACACACATTTCTATACAAGATGTATTCCTAGCCAAAGACCCTGATGGCACAAAGGCTAAGTGCTTGGCTACTAACTGAAAGGTTGGAGGTTCAAAGCCACCCAGTGGCTCCATGGGAGAAAGGCCTGGCCATCTTCTCCTGTGACAATGATGGCCTCAGGAACACTGGGGGGCTGTTCTGCTCTGTCCTATAGAGTCGCTGGACTCACACTTGGCTCCATGACACCCAGCAACTCCTGAGTGTACAGACGCATGTGCTGTGTATATATAAGGTTTATTGGTCATTCTTCTTGGTTTGGACTTGCTGTAAAGAGTGAGATCATATTTACTTATTATAATAACAGATGTGAAAAACAAAGCAAAAAAATAACAGATGTGGCCACTCTTTTGATATATTGGTAGGCCAACTTAAAAGTCCTGTCCTTGAGGTCTGAAGGCATTCCTGGGCAGTGAAGCCTGAGATGATACTTGAGGTTGTGCAGTTTTGAGCTGTTCTTGGCCCACACCTCACAGGACCACACACCTCTGCGAAACTGTAGGGCTCCGAGAGCCCTAACCACTTAGTAATCGAGGGGTATCTCGCTACTTCTTCTGGCTCTTAATGAAGTGTTCTATTGGTTGGTTTAATGTGTAGTGAGCCCTCGGGTTCTCACCAAGCTCTGTTGTATATAAGAGCATATTGGTAATCTTTTGCTGTCAGGCTTATTCAGTCTTCGTGGGAAAGAATGTAATGAACATTTGGGGGAGTTTTCACTGTATCTACTTTTACCAAGTATTTTTTAAACCTTCTAGATCAAGCCGATCAATGAGAGATTGAGAGAGATTAAAGGCTGTAAAATGGTGATTGATGTTATAAAGACCCAGTTTCCTCAGCTGAAGAAAGTGATTCAGTTTGTGTGTGGAAATGGCCTCGTCTGTGAGACACTGGAGGAAGCCAGGCGCATTGCATTTGGTGGCCCTGAGCGACGGAAAGTAAGGCTTGAGTTGCACTCGTCTCTAAGTTGAAGTGTTACTTATGCAGCAAGTTTAGCGACACACACGTGTATGTGGTTCCACATGTTCTTTTCTATAAGGAGAGCCCACACATAATCCAAAATGCCTATGGCATTTTAAAAGAATTCATTTGGTATCATCTCCCAATGTCATGAATTATATATTTGAAATTATACTTACTGTAAGAATATCCTAAAGCAATTCATTTTTTTCACTGGATAGGGAATAAATGTCCTTGCTGAACCTCAGTTTTCCCAGCTTTTACATACATAATCAATGTGTTTCTGAATGCCAGCAAAGCTTTTAGGTGATTATTTTTTATTCTCGGCTAATTTTCCCCAACATTTAATAGAGATTCTAACTGTTCTTTACATATTCAAGGTCCAAAGACATTTGGAATGCTTAAAAGAGCCCAGTTGAGATGAAGGTACTGAATACTCAAGGGAGTAATTATGATTTTAAAACTAATAATGAATATACTTCGATTTGAGTGGTGGTGGTGTGCTATGGAGTCGGTTCCAACTCATACCGATCCTGTACAGGGTTTCCAAGGCTGTGAATCTTTACTGGAACAGAAAGTCTAATTTTTCTCCCACGGAACCAACCTCTGGTAGTTTCAACCTCCTGACCGTGAAGTTAGCAGCCCAACTGGTAACCAGTACGCTACCAGAGCGCCTTTTGATTTGAGCAGAGTTAGTATTTAGTTGATCATTGTTAAAATTCCTTGAATTCTTTGACAGTGTTTTTCACTACGTTTGTGTTCAAGAGTAATAGACAAGCTCTAAGAAAGACCAGTGGCACTACTTAGTGAAAGGACTGAATAAAAAATTCAAGCTTCGACTTGCAATATTGAAGGATTCTATGGACAAAATATTTAATGAAGCAGAAAGCACCAAAAGAAGATGGAAGAATACATGGAATTAATGTACCAAAAAGAATTGGTCAATATTCAATCATTTCAGGAGATAGCATATGATCAAGAACCAGTGATGTTGAAAAAAGCTCAAGCTGCAATGAAGGCATTAGTGAAAAACAAAGGTCTAGGAATTGTTGGGATACGAACTGAAATGTTTCAACAAATTGACACAGCACTTGAGGCTTACTCATCTGTGCCAAGAAATTTGGAAGACCTGGCTAACTGAGTAGAAGAGATCCATATTTGTGCCCATTTCAAAGAGAGATGACTAATGGAATGTGGAAATCATCAAACAATATCATTAATATCACATGCAAGTAAAATCTTGCTAAAGATAATTAAAAAATGGCTGCAACAGTATGTTGACAGGGAACTGCCAAAAATTCAAGTTGGATTCAGATGAAGATGCAAAATGGGGGATATAATTATTGATTCCAGATGGGTCTTGGTTGAAAGAGGAGAATACCAATAAAGCCTGTGCTTTATTGACTTTGCAAAGGCTTTCAACTGTGTGGACCACAACAAGTTATCAATAACATTGTGATGAAAGGGCATTCCAGAATACTTAATCATGCTCCTGAGAAACCTTTATATAGACCAAGAGGCTTAAAATCAGACAAGGTTTGTACCAGGGTTGTATTCTTTCACTATACTTATTCAGTCTCTATGCTGAGCAGATAATTTGAGAAGCTGGATTATATGAAGAAGAATATGGCATCAGGATTGGAGGAAAACTCATTAACACCTGCAATATGCACATGATACAGCTTTCCTTGCTGAAAGTGAAGAGGACTTTAAATACTTACTGATGAAGATCAAAGACCACAGCTTTCTGTATAGGTTTCACTTCAATGTAAAGAAAACAAAAATTCTCACTACTGGACCCCAATATGCAACATCTGTATAAATGGAGAAAAGATTCAAGTTGTAAAAGACTTCATTTTGCTCAGATTAACCATCAACACTCATGAAAGCAGCAGTCAAGAAATTAAAAGACATATTGCATACATCAAATCTGCGACGCAAGACCTCTTTAAAGTGTTCAAGAGCCAAGATGTCAGATTGAGGACTAAGGCACGCCTGACCCAAGCCATGATTTTCAATAGCCTCATAGGCATGTGAAAGTTGCTGATGAAGATCAAAGACTACAACCTTCAGTATGGGTTTTATCTAGATGTAAAGAAAACAAAATTCCTCACCACTGGACCAGTAAATAACATCAAAACAAATAGAGAAAAGATTGAAGTTATCAAAGACTTCATTTTGCTCAGATCAACCATCACCAGTCATGGAAACAGCAGTCAAGAAATCAAATGACATATTACATTAGGCAAATCTGCTGCACAAGACCTCTTTAAGGTATTCAAAAGCAAAGATGTCAGTTTGAGGATTAAGGTGCGCCTGACCCAAACCATGGTATTTCTGTAACCTCATATGCATGTCAAAGTTGGACAGTGAATAAGGAAGACCATAGAAGAATTGATACATTAGAGTTTTTATGGTGTTGGAGGAGAATATTAAGAGTACCATGTTCTGCAAAAAGAACAAACAGATCTATACTTTAAGAAATACAGCTAGAATGCTCCTTAGAAACCAAGATGGCCAGACTTTGTCTCTCATACTTCAGACTATTATCAGGAGGTACCAATCCTTGGAGAAGGACATCATGATTGATAAGTGGAGGGTCAGCGAAAAAGGGAAAGACCCCTAAGGAGATGGACAGGTACAGTGGTAACAGCAGTGGGCTCAAGCATAGCAAAAATTGTGAAACAGGCCATGACCTGGCACTGTTTCCTTCTGTTGTTCATAGGGTCGCTATGAGTTAGTACCAACTCAATGGCACCTAACAATTGGTGGGAATGAACCAGCGACCTTGCAGTTAGCAGTACAGTGCTCATCTTACAGTACTAGGAAATTGCAGACTGAGCTAAAAACAAACAATTACTGTCCTTCTTAGAAGAGGAATTTGACTATACATCAAATGAAAATACGTTTTTTTTTGTTTTTTTTTTGAGACCATGCTTACTTTTGGTCATGGTGATTGTGTGCCGTTGAGTTGACTCCAACGCTGTAAATCTTTAGAGGAGCAGAAAACCTCATCTTTCTTCCTCTGACATGTGGACTAGAACTGTTGACCTTGTTGTTAGCAGCCCAACAATTAACCCATTACACCACTAGGGTTCTTTACCTTCCCTTTTACAAGTAATTGTTTTCATCCAGCTAGAAACTATAAAAATTACTCAAGATCCATAATTCTATAAATTGTTACCCCTGTATTTTTAGAACCAAAAGGGATGCCTAACAGTGGTTTTTCCTATTTGATGTTTGCAAATTTTATGGTATTTTTCATTGATTCTTTTTATGTTTTTATAATCAACTAAGAAGCTCTGGTAGTGTAGTGGTTACGAATCAGGCTGCGAACCGCAAGGTCAGCAGTTCGAAACTACCAGCTGTTCCACGGGAGAAAGATGAGGCTTTCTGCTCCCATAAAGATTTACAGCCTTGGAACCCTGTATAGGGTCGGTATGGGCTGGAACTGACTCCAGGGCACATAACAACAACAACATATCACTCTTAAACCTTTAGCTATTGTTTTTATATGTATAATTGGGTCTTCACTGTGAGGCCAAATTAATGTTTACTTAACTATCCTTCACTTTCTTAACGGTTACATTTTTGAATTTGTTTGGAATTTAATTTCATGATCATTGGTACATGTAGGTGTTTTCTTCAAATGGTTAATTATTTGTCCCAACATCATATATTGAACAAATTTGTCTTTTTCCCGTTTAATTTTTGTTTCACTTTTTTTCATAATTATGTTTCACATTTGTGCTTGCTTTGGTAAAATACAAAATTAACAAGCCGAACAGAGTCCTGCTTTCCTGGGATTCCCTCCACCCTCTGCTCTCCAGCCCATGCCAAGTGTACCTCCTGAACGCTGTTTCTGCCCTCGCTTGCATTGGCTGATTTCATGCCATCATTTCTGAGTTTTGTGTTCGTGGTTTGTGTATTGGTTGGTGTCTCTCCATCAGCTAGGTGTTTTGAAAACCAAAAGCTACAGACTATCTCAGCTGTAAACTGTGCTGCACACACATGTCCTTACGCTCATATCGTCTTGTTTGCCTCGGCGCCGGGTAAAGTATTGCTTTCATTTCACAGACAGTAGCGCTTGATGGAACATTGTTTCTCAAATCTGGGCTCATCTCTGGAGGGTCAAGTGACTTAAAATACAAGGCCAGATTCTGGGATGAGAAAGAGTTGAAGGACTTACGAGACAGAAGGACCCAGCTCGTCCAGGAACTAAAGGTAAATCCAGGCTGGAAAAGTTGGAGAATACCATGTACAAGAACTGTGTTTTTAAACTCTTTTTTTTTTTTTTTTTCAGTTGGCAGCAACGTGCCTCACTTTAAAAAAAATTTTTTTAAGTAATTCAGCATGATATACAGTAAAAAGGATGTTTTCCGTACTCACCCTCACATTTCACTGGTGTTTGCTAAACATAGCTCGATGTATTCTTGCCTTCCAGAAATTTCTTTTTATATATATATATTATTTTTCCTGTTTTGTTTGTTTTACAACACATACTTGTTATAAGTAATCATTTTCAACAAACTTGTTCATTTGTTATCATAACACTGATGGTATTGTTTAGTGTCGTTGAGTTGGTTCAACCAGTAATAACCCTCTATAGGGTTTCTGAGCCTGTAAATCTTTGAGAAAGCAGACACTTCATCTTTCTCCCAAAGAGTGGCTGCTGGGTTAGAACTGCCGACCTTGTGGTTCCCAGTCCAGTACTTTTTTGTATAGAGCCACTATGCATGTTTTTATCTCAGTACATAGAGATCTGTTTTTACTGCATACTGCCTGGTATTTCATTGGATATATTTTATTTATTTACCCATTCCCTAATTAAGGGACCTATGGGTTTTTTTATATTATGATAATGCATTATTAGCATTCGTTAAAGAAAGTGAGAGAGAATAACATATTATCTAAGAACATTAATTAGGAAGCCAGATTGCCTGGGTTTGAATCTGGACTCTGCTGCTTACTAGCTATATGACCTTGGGCAAGTTACCTAACCTCTTTGTACCTGAGTGCCCTCATGTGTAATATGGTAGTAATAAAAGTACCAACCTTTCAGGATTGTCATAGGATTAAATCAGATAATTCAGATAAAGTACTTAAAACAGTGCCTGGCATATGAGAAGCACTACGTAATGTCTGTTGCTATTACTGTTATATGCTTACTTGTATAATTATTGAGTCATTAGGTCTAAAGTTAGTTTAGGTCTAAGGATAAACAAAAAACTCTGCTGCCATTGAGTCAATTCCTACACACAGCGGTCCCATAGGACATAGTAGAGCTCTCCCATAGGGTTTCCAAAACTGTGACTCTGTATGGGAGCAGATGTGTATTTCAAATGTTGACAACCAAAAAAAAAAACCTGCTGCATGGAGTTGATTCTGACTCATAGCAGCCTGGCTATCGATCCAGTGCCTATCCTACAGCGCCTCTCTAGGACTGTTTCCAAATTTCCACCTAAAGTGTACACTCAGTCAATTTACTGTTAAAATTTAAGACTGGGTAACATATAGTTTGGACTAACACATGGGGTCTGGAGGAAGAAAGGCCTGGAGGTCTTCTGAAAATATCAGCTATTGAAACCCCTCTCATACATGTGGATGGGGTTGCGGCGAGTTGGAATTGACTAGGTGGTAACGTGTATGGAAGGTGGGGCCTAGTTCTCTCACTTTAGCAGTGTGACCTTAGGCAAGTTACTCACATGCATTTATGTTTTTGTTTCCTCCACTGTGAAGTGCTGTTAATTGTAGTTTTGTTGAGAGGATTCCATAGGTAAATAAGTTGTATGAGAACAATGATTAAGAGCTAAATAAATGTGAGCTATGGTGTGGAGGGATAATGCTGGACTGCAAGGTCAGTTTGAACCACAAGGTCAGTGGTTCAAGCTGCCCAGCCGCTCCTCAGGGTCCCTATGTGTCAGAACCTACTGGATGACACTTAACACACACAGACATTTTCTTTAATATCCATGGGACATTTATAAAAACTGATCATATTCTTGGCCACAGTGAAAACTTCATCCACTTTTTTAAAGTAAAGCGTTTTAGAGGTCACATTTCTTGATTGTAATTTAATGAAATTGAGAATTGTTAGGTGCCACAAGCCAATTCCTACTCCTGTCAACCCTGTGCACAACAGAGTGTAACATGACCAGATCTTGCACCACCCCACAATTGTTAAGGATGTTTGAGTCCATTGTTGCGGCCAGTGCTGAGCCATTTCATTAGGGGTCTTCCTCGTTTTTGCAAACCTTCTGCTTTGCCAAGCATGATGTCCTTATCCAGGGACTGGGTCCTTCCTGACAACATGTCCAGCGTCCATGAGACAGGAGAATTTGGGTTGTGCTTCTTCCAACACAGAGTGGTTTGTTCTGGCAGTCCAGAGTCTTCTTCAGCACCATTCAAATGCATCGATTCTTCTCTGGTCTTCCTCATGCCTTGTCCAACTTTCACATGCACATGAGGTGTTTGAAGAGACCATGGTGTGCCTTCATTCCCAAAGTGACAGCTTTGCATTTTAATACTTTACACAGAGGTCTTTTGCAGCAGTGTTGACAACATTGTAAGCTTTTTGTCTACATAGAAATTACCACCTGTACTTGTCAATGTCTTTTGGATCAAAGAAGTAATCAGAAGGCAAGTCACAAAGCATCTTGAAAATGATGAGTAGGAACATACTTCTTACCAGTATTTTGGGAACACAGTAATAGTGTATTCGTTATAAAAGAAGAAAGATGAAATAAGAGAATGTTTTACTCACCTTAAGAAATCACCCTAGAACAATCACAAAATATACAACAGCAAAACTAAAAGGGGATTACTTTTAAGCTGAAATTAATTAAATGGAAAACTGAAAATAGAAAAGGGACAAATAGTTCAATACTGGTTTCTACTGAAAGACTAATACAAATACACAAAATACACTCCTTTCAACTCTAATGAAGGGAAGAAAAGATAGAAGCAAAAATGTACATGGTCAGGAAGAAAACTTTTAGACATGTTATGGAAATCTTATCTGCAAAAGGATGCAATCTAGGATAGGATCAGGAGCTCAGGAAGAAGGAATTTGAATGATTGGTAAACTTGGAAAAATGTTCAAAGCCTCTAGTATTTCCAGAATACAAATCAAATTAATAAGATTATTTATATTTACCAATTGTTATTGTTAAGAGCCGGCAAGTTGGTTCCAACTTGTAGCACCCCTGTATAGGTTTTCTGAGGCTTTAACTCTTCTCAGGAACACAAAGCCTTATCTTTCTCCCAAGGAGCTAATAAACAACTGGCAGGTTCAAACTGTAGAGCTGTGGTTTACTGTCCAGTCTTTATTGTAGGGAGCCACTGTGCTCCAATACTTATCAGTACGACTTAGAAAATAAAAGCACGTGTGTTTGTGTGTATGTATAGATATACACATGAGGGTGCTCTAAAAATTCCTGGAAAATGGAATTTTTCCATAAACTTTGAAGTCCATCATATACACACTAACATAATGTGTATCACTGGTGAGGATGGAAGAAAAAGACTATCTGTACATTGCTTGTAGAAGCATGAATTGTCAGCCTTTTTGGGAAAGCAATCTGGTTGGTATTCACTGTTTCAATAAGCACAGGAGTTTTTAGATCCATCGGTCTCACACTGGGGCATCTCTTGCATAGAAATGAGAAAGGCCAGCACTCGAGGGTGTGTGGTGTGGCACTGTAGGATCAGCACTGGACTGCAAACTAAAAGGTCAGTGATTGAAACCCACCAGCTGCTCCTTGGAAACCCTAGACAGGACTGCTCTGAGTCAGAACTGACTTGACAGCGTTAAATAACAACAACATGGCAAGAACAAACTTGGAGACCATCATTAGCAGACTGAATACTTATGGGCACAGCCACATGCTGGAATAGCGTGCAGTCATTGAAAGAAAGACTGTAGAGCTGTATTAGTTATGAGGGACCATTGTGAATAAGTGAATGAGAAAAGCAAGATGAGGAAAATGTGTTCAGCATGATCCCAACTTTGCAAAATGACTGCATAAACCTATGTATGTATGCACACGCATGTATTCGTACCATTTTCAGTATTCAGAGTGAACATACAGAACACACACTCAGGAGTCAACTTGTTCAAAGACTAGGAGGAGTGAGAAGACAAGAAAAGCGGCCAGGACAGCACTGAGGACAAGGCAGTGCCCATCCTTTGAGAGTGCTGGCTGGGACACATTGCCCATTTCTTGTTTTTCATATACCTAAACCCTCCTGGTGGGAAGTGTATTGGTTTTTTGAGAATGCCGTTTGGCATCTGGGCTAACCCACATGACTGATGTCTTTACTTGCCCAGTCTCCTGAGGAGAAGGGGAAGGTGCAGTTTTTGTAAATTGTCAGCAAATTATTACATGTGAAAGCACTTTGAAAAGGGAACATGCTTTTCTATTACAAATGATTCTTATGATATTTTTCTTTCTTGCTTTCTCTCTCTCTTTTTTTAAGGATTTAATGAAGACGCTTCGGAAAGAGACAGATTTGAAACAAATACAGACTCTAGCACAAGGAACTCAGACACGACTTAAATATTCACAGAGTGAACTAGAGATGATTAAAAAGAAGCACCTTCCTGCTTTTTGTAGGGTAATATAGGCATAACAACAACAACTTAGTCATATCAAATTCTATAGACTTGAAAACCAGAGTGTACACTTTCAGGAATTACGTTTATATTGTTGTTAAGTGCCGTAGAGTTGGTTCCAACTCATAGCCACCCTGCATAGGGTTTATGAGGCTATAAATCTTTATGGGAGTGGAGAGCTTTAGCTTTATTCAGAAAAGATAAATGGTGAGCTTGAACCATTGACCTTGTGGTTCTAAATCCAGTACTTATCCTACAGAGCCACCGCCTTCCAACTACATTTATATGTTGTTGTTGTTATGTGCCGTGGAGTCGGTTCTGACTCATAGCGACCCTGTACAGGGTTTCCAAGGCTGTAAATCTCTGCGGGAGCAGAAAGCCTCATCTTTCTCCCATGGAACAGCTGGTAGTTTCAAACTGTTGACCTTGCGGTTTGCAGCCCAATTCGTAACCACTACGCTACCAGAGCACCTTACATTTATATGGTGCTACATAAATACATGGAGTCCTGGTGTGGCACTGAACTGCTAACTGCAAGGTAAGCACTTCCAAACCACCAGCCACAACTTGGAAACCCTACAACAGAGTCTTTATGAGTCAGAACCAGCTCAACAGGAAACAACAATGTAAATTTACAATATAAATATGTCAATATACATGTATATGTTAAGTGCAGTTGAGTCCGTTCTGATCCACAGCAACCCTGTATAGTGTTTCCAAGGAGAAGCTGGTGGGTTTGAACTACTACTGACCTTGTGGTTTGAAGTTCAATGCTAATTATACAATGCCACACCCGGAGTCCATACATTTATATAGCACCATGTAATTTTTAGTCACTTTACTCCTTGTTACTTTATTTGTATGGTGGTTAATCTTGTTAGTCATCTGCACCTGAATTCCATCTTACCTCACCAGACTCCCTTCTTTTCTTCCCCTACCTGCCACATTTTGTACTTGACTCCTGGTGTGGTGCTGTGGGTTAATGCGCCAGACTGCAAAGCTGTTTGAACTGCAAGGCCGGTAGTTTAAGCTCACCAGCTGCTCCTTGGAAACCCAGTACAGGGTTGCTATGGGCTAGGACCGACTCTATGGCATTTAACAACAATATATAAAGTTAAAATAGCCATGTTAAAGTTGTTTTTTTTTTCCCCTTTTTGTGATTAGGAAAAATCTCAGCTACAAAGTGAACTGCTAAATATTGAGTCTCAATGTACTATGCTGAGCGAAGGGATCAAAGAACGTCAACAAAGAATTGAAGAATTTCAGAAAAAAATAGATAAGGTGATAAATGTTTTATATTCATTAATAAGAGACATCTATAGCTGTAGGCCAGTGTCAGTGCCTTTCTGATAAGGAGCTGAAGCAAAAGTTGGCCACAGCAGTGCCTCATTGGGACTAGACATAAACTACTATGTGCTGTTCGGGCGGGGCTTGCCGGATGTATGTCCGGTGTCGTTCCTGTTGGGAAACAGTGTGCAGTGCAGTCACCCTCTCTGCCCAGGTAACGGCACAGCCTTCTCATGCTGCCACCCATGCTCCTGTTTAGTCGGGATTGTTTCTACATCAGTACCATGTTTTTACACAAATAATTTAGACATTATACGGGTTTGGGCAAGTCTCATGCTCCCTCCATAGGTTTGTCTCCTGTGTATTCTCTGTGTGTTCCTTACATGGGCACGTTGTACAGTGTAGTCCAGGCACAGCGCTTGACTCTGGGTGACAAAGGTTTGGTCACCTGGCCTCTGTCATATGACAGGAAGAGTCCACTGTGGTGTGCTCCACGGCTGTGTCTCTAACCCTCGGATGTGCTTCTCATCACTCAGTAACTGATACCCATTGCTTCCAGTGCCACATTAGCGCAGAATTGGAAAGCGCACTTACATTGCTCCCTAGTCACCTGTTCTAGGTAAACACCTCTCACCTCCCTAATTGGCCCCCAGTCACCCTGAATGTGAGGGCAGCGCTGGTAAGCCAGGCATCCTCGGCTGCTCTGTTGTCTGTCAGTCCCCGAACAGCAAGCCATGTCAGGATGATGCCGGGCCAGCCTGGAGTCTGAGAGCTCTGGGTGGAACTGTGACTCTCCAGGTGTGGGTTTTCTGTGTAGGCTCAATGCAGTCACCTACTACTGCAGCAGGTTTTTTAGCAAGCATATCACGTGAAGACTTAATTTACATTCAGCTAGTATCCTGGCATCTTTAACCTGTTTTAACATTTAAAACCGATCTCTGTTACCCTATGATTGTACACATGCACAAATGTACAAAGATTGGGGTTTAGTTTTCCTAAATCTTTCTGATCCATAATTCTAAGGTCTAGTTTTATACTGTGTAAGATGGTACCATATCACTCATATAGAGAGAATATTTATGTTGGGTGTGATATTTTGGTGTGACTAATGTAAATGGAATTCTTCCAATTTGATATTAGGCTAGAACACCCAATAAGGTCAGCTGTGAGCTTTCCTTTTTTCATTTATAGAATTAGAACACTGAAAATAGATGGTATAATTTCTGATGTTAAAAGAAGAGCCAGCACAAGCCCCTCGGTGCACAGTACAGCTTGTTGGGCCTTGTCGGGGCTAATATAGGGGAATCTTAGAGACACTTAGGTTACTACCTTGTCTGGGTACTTTCCTAAACTCAAGTATTAAACCACTTGTTTCAAAATATTTTAAAAGGTAGAGGATGATATTTTCCAACACTTCTGTGAAGAAATTGGCGTGGAAAATATTCGTGAATTTGAGAACAAACATGTTAAACAGCAGCAGGAAATTGATCAAAAAAGGTATTTTCCTTAAGACGTTGGTAAGCAGCTTAGAAATATAAAAGTAATGATTGTTTTACAGCTTAGAGGGATCATGCTTGACGTAGTCCATTTCCTAAGAAATTGCTAGTAAAACATTCAGATTCTTATAAGGAGATCCAATTTTTAATTTCCTAATATTTTGGAGAGAGAAAACACAGGTGAATACAGGGAAGAGATGGGGACATAATTGCATGTGTGTTGTTATAAGTGTCATCGAGTCTATTCTGACCCTTAGCAACCTGTCTAGGGTTTCTGAGGAGTGGCCGGTGGATTTGAGCCACTACGTTTCAAGTCACATTGACCTTGAGGTCCAGCGTTTATCCTATAGCACCTCACCCTGTAGTGGTTGCTAAAAGAAGAATGTGGCACTGCTTTGCTGATTTTCTGTGAATATTCATATTGATGGATAAGATTGATAATTTTCAAGAAATTAGACATTGCCAGAAACTACTCTAAGCTGATAGAAAATTTAAAGAAACCAATTACCATAGAGCAAAAAGGCAAAAAAGCTTCCTATCACCCCAAGGTACACCAGACACACTTGGTTTCAAAGGAGGATCATGTCAGCCCAGTCTAAGGGAGCACCCGAATTCAATAATTAATGTTTATGCTGATGTTTAGTGTTTATAGAGAAGCCCTGGTGGCCGTGGGTCAGTGTCCAGCTGCTAACCCAAAGGTCCTAGCCACCCCATGGGAGACAGATGTGTCAGGATGCATTCTTAAAGATGTACAGACTTGGAAACCCAGTGGGGCAGGGACTCTGTGAGTCAATATCAACTTGATAGCAGTGGGTTTGGTTTTGGGGTTTTCAGTATTTAAACTGTGTCAGTATGGAAGACAAAGAATTTTTTTATGAATTGATCATAATTTTGATGCCAAAATCCAAAGAAAGGTTCACATACTACAAGAAACTATAAATCAGTACCACCTACTAATGGCCAAGTAAAATGAATTACAGTACAATGTGACCAGGGCATTCATACAGAAATAAAGACTGGGAGGTCTGTGTGTGTGTGTGTGTGTAAATCAGGTGAATTTTAATGACTTTTTCTGCAAAAAAAGAGAAGTTGTGTACTTTTGCTTAAATGTACCCATGAGGTAGATGTTTATATATATTCCTTAATTTCCCTGTGAACCGAGTGAAGAGTTACAGAGCAGATCATCGGTTTTACAAGACTGGGAGATCTCTTTCTGGAACTCTCATCACAGTAATGGTTCAGAGGAGGAAACATTGATGACACAATACATGATCTAAAAGTCATTTGGCAAAATTCAGCATCCATTCCTGACATTATTAGATTCATGGTAAAACCTAAAGAGTTAGATACCTATGTGACAAAATGCATCTCAGTCTCAATCTGCCTTGTGGTTTCAAGGAGTAACCCTCAGTGTTCCTATAAAGCCAGAAATGATCAGGTATTTAGTATCATCAGCATTACCTAACAATCTGAAGATGCGAGTTGATAGACAAGGGAAGTCAATAAAGTAAAACATTTGGAAAGAAAAAGGTAAATGTATCATTATTTACCTCTTCATAGACAGTCCAAGGGAACAAATGGAATACTATTAGAGACTAAAGACAATTGATTCATGTGGCTACATACAAGAATTAATGTAAAATGACATTAAAAGTCAACACCCTTTTTATATAAATACCATTAAAACAATATGTTGTTGTTGTTACGTGCCATCGAGTCGGTTCCGACCCATAGCGACCCTCTAGAGGGTTTCCAAGGAGCTACTGGTGAGCTTGAACTACCAACCTTGCAGTTCAAACTGACTTTGCAATCTAGCGCATTAACCCACAGTGCCACACCAGGACTCCAATACAATATAGTAGAAGAGAAAAATCCTAATAATATGTTATATAAGACAGGCCTCCTACTGTTGAGTTGATTCCAATTCCCAGCAGCTCAAAGAATTTAGAACTGCCCTGTAGGATTTCTGAAGCTATCATCTTTACAAAAGAAGCCTGCCTCATCTTCCCCACAGCACAGCCTCATCCCCGGGTGATCCTGGTGGATTTGACTCATGACCTTTTAGTCAACAGCTCAGCACAACCCACTGCACTATCACGGCTCCTTCTAGTAATATTGTGCTGTGCTGTCAAGTCAGGTGTAACTCCTAGCAGTGCAGTATAGGGTTTCTGAGGCTGCATATCTTTACTGGAGCAGAAAGTCTCCTCTTTCTCCCATGGAGCAGATGGTGGATTTGAACTGCTGACCTTGCAGTAAGCAACACAACGTATAGCCCATTATTCTCTTTCCAATAATGATGATGTTAAGTGTCAAGGTAAGACTCATAGCAACAGTTGTATAGGGTTTCCAAAGAGTGGATGCTGAGTATGAACCGCTAGCCATTGGGGCGAGGAATATGGTGAACTGCCTAGTACAAATAGAAAAGCACTATATAAAAGACTGGGGGATACAGACAGAAACTTAAAAAGAAAAAATATACTAGTTAACTCATAGATTCAATTCAAAGAAGTTGATTCTCCCTAAATTCATCTGTAAACAGCATCTTAGTACATGTATGAACAAGAATTTTCTTAAGATATTCTGAAAAATTTGACCATGAAAAATCTGACAAAGACCTTGGGAAAGAACTAGAATTCCCAGATATTAGAATGGAGTGCAGTGCAGAGCTACAGTAATTAGAATTGTGTGGTCCTGTGCTGACTCTTAGGAGTAGAGAAACATTCTCAGATTTATAAGGGACATAGAAGGCACAGGTAGCATTTCATATCAACAGGTTTGCTTTTTTATTTATTTTATTTATTTATTTTAATTTCAGGGTTTTATTGTTGATTGAGTAAAAGTTTGCAGGGCACATCATCAGTTTCACGTACAACCATTCATATAACTTGTTTCATTACATTGATTATAATCCCCTCCATATACCATGAGTTAAAAGTATTTCTCTCTATCCACTTTAGCTTTTTTAAAAAA